CCACGTACAGCCAGAACGTGCTGATTTTGTTTTTATCATTTTATCTGGTTTTTTTTTTACTTTCTACTCTACCGTTTCCATGCTTTCAGTTTTATTTTATTGTTTTTTACCCCCCGCCGGCCGCAATCAATTCATTGTTTCTCGATATTTTTACAATTTCACACTGTTTGCCCAACAAAAGCGTTTTGTTGTTATAAAAATATTGTTGTTTGTGTATCGTTGTTGTTTGTATTGCTTGTGAGATATTTAATTAATTTCCGTTGAGCATCCAACTCGCCACGCCTCCAAAGCACGCCCACATTCCACCTGTCGTCTCTGTGCACTCTTCGAGCATTGCGATAATTAATCGTTTTGTATTTTTTATTTCCGAATGAGATACCCGCGAAATCAACTGAGATGGGCACATAAACGAGTGTACATAAGTACGCTTACTCCGCTTACGTAAGCATTGCGTTCGGCCCATTGTGTCCCCTCGTATTTATGTTGTTTATATTTTGTAATCTTTTATTTATTGACAATGCATTAATCACGGTTTTAAATTTTATGTTGCTTCTATTTATTTGAAAGCCATTCTGGGAAAGCTTTAATGAAAGCTCTAAAGGCTAAATAGGCGAGTACGAGCAGTGATCCTATATAAATCTCTTCGAATTCCGAAGGAAAATTCTTTCAGACTCGTATTACTGACACGCAAAGCTTGTTATATTTATTCTTATGTATTTCTATATCAGGATGTCATGCACATACCATATTTTACTTGCATACGACTTACCGCCCACTAATACACGATTCAACCACCCAGCTAGCCATATAATCAATGCAAGTATTTTTAAAATAAGCCATAAAAGCAACTTGAAAGCAATATTATGACATCAACAAAGCTTTTTAAGGATTGGTAATAGTTGTATCCGGTTCATGTATGTGGAACAAATATTTCGTAAAAGCTTATGAAGCCTTAGCTTAATAAAGCTCCACAAAGTTAACACATACTTACTCATATAATATCTTATGATAAATATGACTAACACGTGCCTCAAGCGCACAAGTAAAGACAGTTTTAATATTTTTCATCATGCTTTCGGTTTTAATGCACACATGTGAGCTTTTCACACTCCCTCAGTCTCTTCCGAGTATATAATTGACCAAGTAAGAAGTTTGTAGTATACGGAGACTATTAAATAGTGGTGGGATAGATTGTTACTGCGATCTTTGGTCCTTTGTGCCTAACGGAGTCTTTACACATACCATACATACCTAATCGATAGCACACCGCGCTTCACAAGTCGCGCTATAACCAATATTTAACTAGTCACAGCGACGAAA